TCGCTGTCGCAAAGGGCCTTTCCGGGAAGCACCCTAGCATTCTCACGTTCAAAGGAGCTTTCGAGGACGCCGACGCGGTGTATCTAACCTCCGAATTCTGCGATTCGGGTGACTTACTAACCTACATTGTCGAATCCGCGATTCGAGAAGGAGCACGCGCTCCGGACGTCTATAATCTCGCCGACGGTGGCGGCAGCACCGCTTCCTGCGATGATGGTGCCTTCGGTGCAACCGCCCGCAGCAGCCGAGGAATTTCTCGCAGCATTTCGCGATCCCTGAGCTTTCAACGCGGAAATTCCGGTCGCAAGCTGCACGCGTCACCTGGCAATGGCGACATCGGCTCCCGCGACGTTTCCGGCGGAGGCGGTCGCGGCGGCTGGGGAAGAAACCGCGCTTGGGCCCTTCCCGAGCCCGAAGCGCGCACGGTTTTCCGTCAGGTGGCGGCGGCAGTGCAATTTTGCCATCAGAGCGGCGTCGCTCACGGGGAAATCCGCCTCGAGAACGTGCTCTTAAGCTCGCGCCGATTTGCACCCGGGGCGGGGGCGGCGGGATCGCGCAGATCGCGCGCACGCTCCCTTTCAACCATTTGTTCCGCGTACCCGCACGGGTGCGCATCCGAAACGTCTGAGGCAAGCAGCAGTGGTTTCGCCGGGGATGGATTAGTATCGCCGCGCGCCGCGCCACACGGCGGTTCCCCTGCTGTGTTCGCGAAGCTCGCGAATTTCGGGAGTGCGGAGAGGGTGGCTGTGCTCCCGGCTGTGGTGGATGCGGCTGCTGATGACGTGGCAGCGGCGGACGGGAGTGGAGATGTGGCGTCAGTGGAGTCGCGGATTCACGACGCTGTGAAAAGGGGTAGCTTCGGGGGAAAGTCGCGGTTCGGGGGGGAAGAATGCTTACGCTGGATGCAGTACGCAGCGCCGGAGCTGATTGTATCGGAGACGAAGTCTACCAAGTCCGGAGTAGTAGCGACGACGCGAAAGGAATGCCCGATGAAAGCTGACGTGTGGTCGCTGGGAGTGGTGCTTTTCGCGCTTCTGTCGTCGTCCGTCCCCTTTTCGGGCCCCCACGAGCGGAAGATAATACGCCAGATTGCTCACGCGCGACATCATCTAGAACGACTCGTGTTTTGTTGTGCAAGTGTCGAAGCTCGAAGCGAGGAGGGTTATAGCGGGGATCAGCAGGGAAACAACGTGTGGCTGCAAGTTTCGGCGGAAGCCAAAGATTTGATTCGCGGCATGCTCGAGATTGAGCCATCCGCCCGCTTGTCAATTAACGAAGTCGTTAGCCACCCGTGGCTGAGCGCGAAGGATGTTACGGCGCGACGCGGACCCGTGAAGTGCGCTGGTGGGTTGGGTAGCGTTTGCGAAACGGATGCTGGCAGCTGTAACGCCGGGAGGGTCCGAGGTAGCAGTAGTCACGCTCGGGTAGGCGAATCTTCAGATTTCCCACCTCTGCTGCGACGGAGGAACACTTTCTCCTCGTCTTCAGCTGAACGAAAGGGCAAGCACAAACGGGCGAACTCAGTTTCCATGGCATCCGCAAGCGTCAACTCCGCCTTCGTTACAAGCGCCGGCCCCATGAGGGCTGGGAAGTTCTTGATGCGCACTATCAGCCGAAGCATTGGGAACCTCGCGGAACTGGGGAATCTCGCAGCTGGTAACCGTTACAAAAGTACAACTGGTGCTGTCAGCTACAGAGAATGCGACAGCAATTCTGTAGGCTACATGAAGAACAACATAGATGATGACATCTGGAGCAGCAGCAGCACGGCTGAGGGGGGAGCAGCAAATGGTCTTGATTTTGAAAGCTTTCTATCAACCTCATCATCACCACTTCCAGAGGAGGCCACTGGTGCTGAAGCTGAAGCATCAGAGTACAGATTTTCCCTTCAGACACCCGAGGAGCTAGGAGCAGGCGAGGGAGTGATTGCTCTAGGTCCAATACGAGGTCTCCGCCACAGAACCAGCATCACCAAGGGTGGGGAAGTATCTGATAAGGCCCGCGCTGCTGCCGCGGGTGCTGCTGCTTTGGGGCATCCTCCTTTTGCTGCTGAGTCTGGCCACTGTCTGGACAGTACCGCTACCAATCCCTCCAGGGCCTGGTGGAGTAGTTTCCTTGATGCTTCCCATAGATCCTCACACCCTGCTGCTACAACTTCCACCTCTCCATCTGTCAGCGCTGCATCCTTAGCCATGTCTTCCACCGACTTATTTGAACATACTGCCGCCACCACTGCTGCTGCTGGTACAGCCACTTCGGTCAGCGCATGGGGAAGGAGTTATACACACACAGGGCACAAATCCTCACACACTCTTCAGTCAGCCTGCCCCTTCCTCTCCCCCTTGCCTTCCGTTTGCTCCCCTGGTTCTCCTGCTGGCGGTGCTGGTGGTAACCCTAGTCCTGGTCACAGCAGCAGTGGTGATGAGAGTGATGGGAACACCAGCAGTGGGAGTAAAACAGATGGGTTTCGTTTGCCAGTCACTGCATCTTCTAGTGGCAGCAGTGACAGGAGCAGCGGCAGCAGCAGCGGCAGCAGTTTGGGCAGCAAATGCTTGCTTATACTCGCACATAGGGACCAGGCGCTGGTATGTGACAGTGAGGAGAAGGGTCCAAGAAAACGTCTGTCCAGGTCTACGCATGCGATTGATGAGAACGTGAAACTTGACGGAGGTGTGAATATGGGATGGCTTGAGCTGCAGCATGATAGGCAACAGCAGAAGCAGAGCGAGAAGCAGACCTTCTTCAGTAAGTTCACTCGGTCCAAGACACTTTTGATGTGGGTTTTCCATGCCCCGTGACATACGGTATTGTCATAATACCGAAGGAGAATGAATGAACTATGAATGAGTTGGATACAAGTACTAACCCTAATTGGGTTGTATCCCTTATGGGCTACTCCACTACAGCCTACACAATGTACCGTATTCCCCGGGATAAAAAAACCTAGGGTTTGTTATTGATTTCACAATAAAATGTGGGGGGTCTTATTAAATTGTAAAAAACCTATAAGGCCCGGGTCTTATTATAAGTGCTATGTTTTTTAAAATATAATGAATTACAAGGGTGTTGTAATGCAGATTTGCGTTTTTTAAACGAGGAAACACCCCGCGAATGTCCTGAGCCGAGAAACTGGGCACAAACCATGAAGCATCTGAATGCTTCATGCTCATTGGCCCATATTCAATGGTAACCAGCATTACAGATTGGGGGCCGACCAACGTGTACCACGTCCAATGCTTTGTGTCAGACCGCCTCGGACGTCTCATCCCTTGCATGGCACGTGAGGCTCTCTGCACAGAGTCGCACTATCTCTTTCACGTCTCGTGCACAAGCGAATTTGACACCGCCAGGGAACAGACCCACCTCTGTGCAATGGGGAGCGCAGCTCGGCAGAGTCTAGCATAGCGGGACTAGCACGGCATATTAAATTCAGAGCGCGAAGAATGCCAGGCATAGCATTAGGCAGAAAAAGGGTGTCAGCATGGTGTCAACGCCCGATTCAGGCACGTCAGAATCCCGTCGCCCTCGTGCAACAACCGTCTGTCAACCTGCTCGTGTTAGGACTACGACGCGTCCTGTGCTGCCCACGCCAATACCGTCTTCGAGTGAGACCTCTCAGAGCAGCCGTACCCCACGGGCCCCCCTTCCCACAGTCCGTGTCCCCGTATTTCCGCAGTCGTCACGTCCGCAAGGCAAGAAGAAGAAGGTCCAGGATGCAACGCCCCCCGCCTCACCTCGCCACCGTATGACGAAGAAGGCGCGGCATGCGTACACGGCGAGGGAGAAGCTGTACTGGCTGGATATGCTAGACACGCAGCCCGATCTCAGCATCCGGGGGTTGGCGCGACTAGCTAACGTGCAACCGAAGCAGATTCGCGAATGGCGGAAATTGAAGGAGCGACTCCTTGTTTCAGCGGCGTGTCGTCGTCGCCTCGTTGGCGCAGGCCGTAAGGCCAAGTGGCCTTTCATGGAGCGGGTCGTCTACCGTCAGTTTTTGGCGCACCGTGCCAAGATTCTGGCCGTCTCTGTGAGCATGCTTCAGAAGTGGTCGCGGCAGTACATGAAGAACCGACACCCTCGGGCCGACTGGCGCGGGTCTAACCGTTGGATTTCCGTTTCCGCGGGTGGTGGTCCTTGGCAAAGTGTGTCAAGACAAAGATGGGGCAAAAGCTGACTGACAGTGAGTCCTTTTTCCCTGCTGCTACATTTGCCCGCGGAAACTGGGCTCGTGTGTGTAATCGATGTTGTTCCGCGACTAACAATTTCTATGTTCTCTCTCCTTGCAATTTTGAAGGCCAAGGTGGAATCCTTTTGGGAGTTTGTTCGGCAGATGCAAGTCCTAAACTCCTACCCCACCAGTCTGATCGTTAACGCCGATCAGACACCGCTCTTCCTGGAGATGCCGCAGGAACGCACATTGGAGATGAAGGGGGCGCGCACCGTGCACATCCGTACCGCGGGTTACGAGAAGGAGCGCCTCACCGTTATGCTGGCGGTGACGGCGAGCGGCTTGAAGTTGCCACCGTATGTGGTGTTCAAGCGCAAGACAATCCCGAAGGTCGTCGTTCCGCGAGGTGAGTCATTATTGCCGTTACGCATGTTACTCGTACCCTTGTACATGCGACTGATGTGCATCATGCTGTGTGCAGGCGTCGTTATCCGTGCGCAGGTACGGGGATGGATGGACGAGAACCTCGTCCAGGACTGGACTACCCAAGTCCTCGTCCCCTTCATGCGGCCCCTGCGGGACAAGGGCTGCAGGCGGAAGGACGTCCTCCTCGTCCTGGACTCATATCGAGGACATCTCACCGAGGCCATTGGCCAGACTATGTGTCTCTTTAGGCTGACACGCGCGGTGATCCTAGGCGGTTGCACACCGCTTGTGCAACTGCTTGATGTGTCAATCAACCGTGCCTTCAAGGCGGGCGTCCGACACCGCTACGACACCTGGTTCGAGGAGCACAGGATCACAAGCACAACTCCTGCAGGTAAGCCCTTGTATGAAGCAATGGGGGCGTGTTGTCGATGTAAGAACAGTCGAATCACACAACCATACACCCTCCAATCCCTTACCCTTGGCCCCAACCCGCAGGCAAACTGAAGAAACCGCCGGCCGAACTCGTCCTGAAGTGGATTGACGAGTCGTGGGCCGACGTTCCCGAGGAGATGGTGAGGAAAGCATTCCTCACCTGCGGTATCTCCAACGCAGAGGACGGGAGCCAGGATCATCTGATCCTGGCGCACATGCCAGGATCATTCCGGCGAGGTGGAGGTGCTGGAAGACGTGATGGAGGAGGAGCAGGATGAACTGATCCCCAACCCGTTCTACCCGGCCCGCGTGGTCACCCCTCCCGATGTGACCGTCGAGATGGAGGAGGAGGCCGTGCTGGCCGCTGAAGCAGAGGAGGCCGATGAGGAGGTAGTACCTGCTAAGTCAGACTCGAGCGAGTCCGACGATGGAAACGCGAATGAAGCTAACGAGTGGAGCGACGAAGGGGATGAATGGTGGGCCCCTGGTCGCTATGAGGGTGCTGAGGAAGAGGAGTGGGTGGCGGGTGACGAAGATGAGTAGCAAGGCGGGGGCGGATTCCAAGGTGGTGGGTGAAGAGTGGAGCTAGCTGGATGTTGAGAGCCTGCCTTGATTGTATTTTGTGACTCTTGTGGCCTACCATGTGCCACTTCTTGCTTAATTGACATGAATTAACCTCCAAAAAACACTTTTGAGGTTGGGGGGGGATCTTATAACGATTTCACCCCAATTGGGGGGTATAAGGAAAACAGTCTTGAATAATGTACCCCCCCCCCCGTATTAAAGACCCGGGAATATTATTATGGGGGGGTCTTTTATCCGGGGGAATACGGTAAGCACTATAACATTTTGACACACCCCCATAGGCAAAGTGGGGGAGAACAAGTGGTCACAAGACCAGTCAAGAAAAACAAAGCAAGCTCAGGGTGGATCACGAAGTCACCACACATTCCGAGCATAAGCAAATAGCCACAATGCCAGTTCACATGCAGAGTTATATAAAACAGAACAAACAGTACAGTGATCATACCTTAGCAAGAGGAAGTATGCAGGTATAGACCTAGATCACAGTACAAGCAAAGTCACGCAGTGAGCAAGTGAGGCAAAGTAGGCACAAGGCCTAAAATAGTACAGAAATGCTGATGATCACCAGACTGAAGTGCCTTGGTGAATATATCAGCAGTGTTGCCCCGAGTGGCCACGTAAGTAAGTCGAAGCTGACCACACGCTGATGCAACTCTCGAAAAAGGAAGTAACGAAGATCGATGTGCTTTGTTATGTGCTCCAGTCTGTGCTCCTGACACAAGGCAATCATGGCCTTGTTGTCCACGTACAGAACTGGAGAAGAACGAGGCCGCTCTCCCAAGTCGGTCAGCAGGTAGGTGAGCCAGCGTAACTCCTGTGCAGCCATGGCCTCTGCGTAGATCTCAGCCTCACAATTGCAATTGAGAACAGAAGACGAGCGGGTAGACCGCCAAGAAACAGAGCCGGAGCAAAGGCTGAAAGTGTAACCCTGTGACGATCGCTGCATAGCCAAGTCGTCAACCCAAGAAGCGTCTGCGTGTCCAGCGAGGACAACTGGACCCCGTCCTCCAAGCACGAGCCCCATGCCCGAAGTACTGCACAAGTAGTGCAACACCCTCTTAGAGGCCTCCTAGTGCTCTGGTCGGTGTCTCCCGGGCGCAACGTAGCGTGCCAGGATGCTAAGAGGGTAGGCAAGGTCAGGTCAAGTGCAGGTTATCAGGTACATGAGGCAGCCCACAAGCTCCGGATACGGGCAACTCGGCTCTACGGACTCGTCCGAAGGTGGAGCTGAAAGCGAGTGATCGGTAGGCAGATGAGTGAACTGGGGCGAGGAGTACCGGAAGCCGAAGCGCTGAAGGACCTGGTGCACCATGTGTGACAGAGTCAGTATGATGGTGCGCCGTGCTCTGTCCTGGGTGATCTGCAAGCCAAGATAGCTGCGCAGCTCACCCAGGTCAGTGCAGGTGTGTCTCATCTGCAGCCCCGACTTCACAAGGGCCAGTGCCTCAGTGTGAGCAGTGGCAAAGACAAAGTCGTCGACGTACACGAGGACATAGAATGGCGGCAGCGAAGTGTCGGTGCGCAGAAACAGCGATGTGTCAGCAGTCGAAGGAGCAAACCCAAGAGCCGCAAGCGTCGTCCTCAGTGTGTCGTGCCACTCGCGAGGCGCCAGGCGGAGACCGTAGACTGGCCGCCGGAGGCTCCACTGGGTACCTGCAGGAAACGACCCAGTGAAGCCAGGTGGGCGGCGTAGCCAGATCTCCTCATGCAGGCTGCCTTGTAAGAAAGCTGTGCTGAAGTCAAGAGAGTGCAGCTCGTAGTCACGCTGAGCGGCGACATGCAGCAACACCCGAAGAGTGGTCATCTTCGGGGTAGGGGAGAAGGTCTGGAAGAAGTCAACTCCCTGTCGCTGACTGAAGCCTCGTGCAACGTAACGAGCCTTGAAGACAGGCGGAGAACCCGGCGGCCGCTTCACCCTAAAAATCTTCATGCCATCGACTATGTTCGCTCCAAAAGGGGGAACTGCGTCGACGTAGGTACCTGTGGACTTCCAGGATGCCATATCTGCGTCCATGGCTGTCTGCCACTGAGAGGATTAGGGACCCGTAATCGCCTCTGCGTAAGAGCGCTGGGTCAGGATGTCTGGTGCATCTGGGTCTCCCTCAGGTGCAAGCTGCATGGCCACGAGATGAGGTACAGCAGCTGCAAGACACTCAAATTCCTCATGCCTGTCCTCAAGGACGTCCGTGCCAAGAGCACACTCATCCCCGACGGACGGAGGACACTCAGACTTAGACTCAGCAACAAGACTAGTGGCGTAGTCGAGACGACAGGCGGCAGCAAAGTCAACAACTAGGGCAGATGCAGCAGTGGACTCAAAAGAAGGGTCAGTGACAACAGTGGCTAGAAGACGAGGGACAGTAGGACTGGCAGCTCGAGCTAAGTCTGTCTCAGGGTCAGGAACGGCAGGAAGAGAGGACGCAGGAGGAGGCGGAAGGGAACTCGCAGTGGAACAGAGGAAGGACGAAGTGCCATAATGAGAGTGCTCGGGACAGGAAGAGGACGCGGACGAGGAACATGACGACCAGCGCAAACAGCGCGAATAGGCGAGGCAGGACGAGAGTCAGGCTGACGACGCTCTGTAAAAGAGTCTGTCTACTCAGCGTAAGGAGAACGAGCAGGTAGTGGGGAGTCTGGCTGTAACTGTGGCTGCAAATGGTGCGGCGGTGGACTCAGTAAGCTAGGAGGAAGGCCCAAAGAAGACGGGAGACAAAGAACCTGGGAAAGGACTGAGTCAGGTGGCGGCACAGACGACGGCTGTGGCGGAACGAAAAACGGTCGCCGCTGCACAGTGCCTCCAGCACCAGTACCGCCAGCTCCAGCACCCCCAGCGCCAGTACCTCCAGCTCCAGGGTCTCCAGCTCCAGTGCCTCCAGCTCCAGCGCCTCCAGCGCCAGAGCCTCCAGCTCCAGTGCCTCCAGTGCAAGTGTCTCCAGCTCCAGTGCCTCCAGCTCCAGCGCCTCCAGCTCTAGGGTCTCCAGCTCCAATGCCTCCAACACCACCAGCTTCGGCAGCTCCAGTACCCCTAGTACGAGCACCTCCTGAACCAGTAGCTCCAGCACCTCCGGTACCTCTAGCTCCAGCAGTAACTCCAGCACCTCCAGGACTAGAAGCTCAAGCACCTCAAGCTCCAGTGCCTCCAGCTCCAGCGCCTCCAGCACCAGTGCCTCCAGCTCCAGGGTCTCCAGCTCCAGCTCCTCCAGCTCCTTCACCTCCAGCGCCTGTGCCTCCAGCTCTAGGGTCTCCAACTCCAGAGTCTCCAACACCACCAGCTCCGGAACACCGACGCATCGCCAACCTTCCCCGTCCAACGCAGTGTAGGCGAGGTCTCCGGCAAGGAGACACGGGGCCAGAGGTTGAGCTGATGAGCAGCGTACCAGACCGCAAACGGCCACAGAAAATGGGGAGCAGCCGCATGGATCATGGAGGTACAAGCCACCTCCATGACTAAGCCAATGCGGCGCTCAGAAACCCGATTTTGTTGTGGGGAGGCGGGAAGCGTGAACGACTGGAGGATGCCCTCCCCGCGACAAAAGTCCTGCAAGAGGTCGGAGGAGAACTCACCACCTCTGTCAGAGTGCAGACGCACATCAGGAAGGTCCTCGCAGAACCGCTCGCGGAGCTGGAGACAGACTGCGCACATCCAAGGGATCAAGAGATCAGGGACCTCACCCTTGCTGCGCAAGGGGAAGACCGTGGAGTAACGCGTGTAGTCGTCAACAACCAGCAGAAAGTAGCGCTCGCGACCCTGTCCACTGACACAGGCTGGGCCCCACATGTCCACGTGGAGAGTCTGCAGGGGAGCAGTCGTCGGGGGAAACGAGGAGGAGTGTGGAGCGGAGCGCTGCCGCCCCTCGACACAAGGAAGGCAGGGCGGGGCAGGCGAGGGCGGGAGGGGAGGCAGAGACCTGGAAAGACCAGAAACAAAGAGGCGGGAGTGCATGCCACGAGGGCGTGGCAGGGAGGGGTGACCAAGTTGGTGGTGCCACAGGAGAATTTGGTGCGACAGGAGGCGACACGAGCAGGGTGCTGCTACCGGACCTGACGCGGACACCTGAGCAGACGCAACTACCTGAGGAGGCTCGGTAGTCAGTGTGTACAGACTCAACCCAGGCCGACGGGTGAACGTGGCCAGGTGACGGCCCGTCCGTGTACACGTGCAGATCGACACACGCTGACCTTCAGGAGTGGTGGTAATGACCATCGCATCCTGGAGGGCAGCGGTACTCACCAAGTTCGTAGAGAACGAGGGGAGGTGAAGACCCGAGAGTGAGCTGGACGGAATCGCCGGACACGGGAGAACAGTGGAGGAACAGGCAAGAACTGGGCCCCCTGAGGGGTCAGCCCGTCTGACCGGAACAGGTGCAGGGAGTGGAGTGAGGGTGGTATTGTTGCGAAAGAAAGAGCGGGAAGCACCTAAGTCAAGCGTGAAGGTGTGCAAGGCCTCAGCAGGCGCAGTACCAGGGAGAGCAGACTCACTAGCACCTAGAGCAGCAGCATCTATATCTGGGTCGGGCGGCACACACATGTAACAGTCACCCTCAGCACTAATAGACAAGGCAAACATGGCCGCTAGGATAGCATTATAGTCAAGAGCAAAGATATCAACTCCAGACCTAAGCAGCTCTGACCAGCGGGGGCGCTCAGCCTCGTCACCAAGCTCTGCGCACCAAGCGTTGTCAAGGCGGGAGAAGCAGAGGTGTCTTACCAGCACGGTCACCCATGCGAATGACATACGGGCAGCGAACACTACCCCCAGACGCCCCACGCTGAGCAAACCACTCACGAAGCTGCTGGGGCATAGGGGTCTCGCTCCGACGCTGCTGCTGCTGCTGCCTCTGGTCACCACCTGAACCTCCCCTCTGAACAGCTCCACCCCGACCGCCACCACTGCCTCCGCCACCACTCCCACTGCCGCCACCACCGCCACCCCCACCGCCGCCACCATCGCCGCCACC